TACTCCATCTTCTCCATCTTCTTCCAGAGATGGATTGCACGATTGACCTGGTTGTTCCCCTATTTCGCTGAATGGCTGTGCCTGTTCCGCTACTCGTCGTTCCAGTCCAGAGATGAGACTCCGATCCGGACTTCGTCTGCTACTCCGCGTAACTACTTTAGCCCCTGACCCTGCCGACTGCCTCCCTGCTTCAAGAAGTCCGAACTCAGAAGGACTGCACTTGCTGAAGTCCGAACTCACGAAGTCCCTTCCCATGTCAACTCCCAGTTGCCTAGTTTGGGTAACTTTGGTCATTATTTGCTTTAATTAATTATGTACTTTAAAATTGAATTGATTAATTGCTTTAGGGTTTAAATTTTTTGGCAAGTTTATTGATTAATTACTTTAATTAATTGTTTTAAAGTGTAATTGGTTAAATGCTTGAATTGGTATAATGTTGAAATAGTTTTTGCAAATCTATTGATTAATTACTTTTATTGGTTTAGTTGCTTTAAGTTTTAGTTGAATCTTTATTGCTTTAAATCTTTTACTGGTTTAGATGAATTGGTTTACGATTTAGTTGAATCTTTATTGGTTCAAATCTATTACTGGTTTAGTTGGCTCTATAGAAAGATCTCTTCATTTGGCTTCTGAGTGAAGGCATCATGGCTCAAGTAGCTCTTGCTTTTCCTATTTGAAGGTTTATTTCTCTGATTTCATATTTCAGCCATTTATATATTTGGATAATGTTGGTTTCACTTATTTGGTCCTTTTGATTTTGGAGGCTGAGAGGCAGAGTGATTTAATGATTCTTTGCATCTTCTGATTTCTGAAGGATTGAAAGACTCGGGCAAACTTTCTTCAGTTCTGCTTGGAAGCCCATTGTCAACAAAAAAGTTATTGTTTATTCTGCTTGGCGCATACTAATTTTCGACATAATATTATAATTTTGTGGGTTTTCATATATTGTCGTGTGTTCATCCTAATAATTTAAGGATGTGATTGGGTAGCGAACACGAAAGAGAATCTGGTGATGTCTCTAAGGTGTTTGTGAAAACTCCCAAGAGGTAACTCTTCTTAGTTTTTCTGATTTTTTATTTATTAATTAATTTTCCTACTTAGTATAAGTACAATCAGCCGGTCATGTTTTGAGGAAGCAAGACGTGCAAAATCTTCTACCTGTGCTGCAGATGGTGTTTTGGAGGAAGACGTGGTTTTGAATGAGGAGGCCGAAAGACCACTAAAAAAAATTTGTTTGAGACAGCAAGATGGTCAACCATCACCGTCCAGCTTTGGCGGGACTTCACGGACAAGGCACGATGATGGTGGGTATGCACTTTTTCAGGGACCACCTCAGCCATGTGATGGACAGATGGATCTTAGAAGCAAGGGGAAACATCTTTCAACCAATTATGAACTGGATGCTTAATTTGAAGACGGATCTTAGAAGCAAGTGGGTATGCACTTCTTCAGGAATGCTTAATTTGAACTGGAATAAATAAAACAGATTATACTCATTATCATTATTGAATACTACGTACTACTTTTAAAGGCTTTATGTCTTGCTGAAAACATGGCTAAATACATGTAGATCTTTCAAGTTTTCTACATTAGCCACAGAGCATATTTTATGCTGTAACATGTAAGAACATATTTCTCAGTTGTACACTTGTACTAGAATTCTGGAACTATGTCATTCACATTTTTTTTCTATAAAAAGAGACATTAAAACCTTTTGTAGTTAGGTATTGCCTATTTGTTCACTTAAAGCTGACAAGGAACATAAAATTAGTTGTATATTCTTCTTGAGCACAATTACCAATGCAACTTTCCTTCACTTAGCCATGAAATGGCGTTGCGATAATCACTATAATTGATATCTTATATTTTATAGGTCAACACAACTATACCCAGAAAAATTGAGAGTGATATATTTTAGTGAAAAGCTATGACACCAAGTTTGAATTTGGGCTTTCGTTCTATAATTGAGAGTCTATAGTTTAGTTTGCATTATAAAGCTCTAAATTTGGGTCAAACATTTGTTGTTTTGCAGCTTTGAGAACCTATTTTTATAAGGAGCATTGTGCTCTACTCGATCTGGAAAGCTTCACACAAGGTGTGTAAGGATATTATGTGCTACTCATAGTGATTACTATAGTTATGCCATTGTATATTGGTGTGTATATAGTTTTAGCTTGTTCAAAGTGTGCTTATTATATATGTGTATTCTCCAATTTCAGTTGTCTAATGGACTTCATAAGAACTATTATATATATAAAAACATTAGTTTATGTAGTTTCACCTGATTATTATCTTCCTCAAGGAACATAATAATGAGGAACAACTTATCAAATTGTCAAGGTAGTTTGATTGATAACCATACTGATGATTGTCATTGTTGTTATTCTTCTTAAAAATGTTGTTGTTCTTAATGTTATCATTTTCAGGTATTTATGTCATATTTTTGTTTGCAGACTCATGATTTGCATTTTTATTGTTCAATATCAATCATGTCATGGAACAAGATAATATCATAAGTCTCAACTTATTGATTTCCCATCAGTCATGCTATTTTCCATGCATTTCAAAATCACCTATAGTATTGATGTTTTTAGAATTTTAGTCTCATTACTGTTTATAATGAAGGTTGCTGTAGGAACGACATCCAATGATCCAAAGTAAATAAACAATTTATGTCCTCTGATGTAAATTCAAACTGAAAACTGCAAGAGAACAAAGGGGTAGTCATTTTATGAGTTGATAATGATATCTTGGGTAGTGTAGGCTTGGCAGTTTGATCAGGAAACTCTATGTGGTCTACCGACATGACTATAAATTTCTATCAATGAAATTGTGCTCTTCGGGAATATGCATTTTCAGCAGCTTCCCAGATCTCAACGTGTTTGATTTGCCTGTGTTTCCTATAAAGAAAAGCTTGAAGACCTTGAGGATCATAGGGAGGTGGCATGGAGCAAGGGCTTGATGTTGAAGCATTATTTACCATTGAATAAAATCTAAACTTCTTCCTCAACCCTATGACAGAGCAAATCAACGCCTCTTTGCACACTTCAACTATCCTTTTTGACACACTGTTGATACTTCATTAGTTTTGAGTACTCTTGTAAGACTTGAAGATTTATAGCATATTGTAAAAATGTTGTATGATCAAAGTGTAGATTTACAATATTGACACAAATAATTTGAGTAATAAATACAAATGTTGATCTTTTATTTTGATTATTCATTATTATTTCTATAATCTTTAATAGAGTTAGTATCAAATAAAATAATGATATTAACACCAATGTGTCGTATTTTTTTATGATACCAACGTGTCACAGAGTTTTATGATACCAATGTATCATAATCTTGTACAACATTAATGTGTCACAATTTACCGACACTATTATGTTTTACGATCAGTGATACTATATTTAGTGTCACTAGCCGACACTTTCCCCGACGCTTTTTTAGTGTCACAGAAACTTTCAGTGACACTAAATTAGTGTCAATATAAGCCATTTTTCTACTAGTGAAATTCTCTTCTATCTAAATCAGTAATATTGTTATTGGTCCTTATTAGGAAGGAAACAATGATGATCCTATTTATGCACTTTAGCAATTTTTTAGTCTCATTTAAGGGATTAACTCTAATGATGTGATCATTCTGAATTGTTTTATTTTTGGTAGCTAATTCAATCTTCTCTGAATTCTCATATTGAGGATATTCAGAATTCAAACTATTTACACATACAAAATTTTCCATTGAACCATTTTTACTTAGCACCACTTTTTCTATTTTTTTCCTCTTGTTTTCTTTATCCTATCCAGATTCAATCATTTTTATTATACCTTGAAATTAATTAAATTTATCAATTTAATTATAATTGAAATTTTTTGTCTAACAAATTCAACAAATTATAACACCAACACTCAATAGATAACAATCAACAATTAAGAAATCAAACAATTTTTTTGGACCCGAGTGGTAAACCATCCTAAGATGAGGTAAGGGTTGAGAAACACCTAATAGAATTATTAGAGGCTCAGTATTGTAATTTACATTAAACTCTCTCTAATATAAATATATCTGCCAGGGCTCCTCAGGGAGGAACCTTTTCCATTATTTCACATGGTATCAGAGCCCTAAATTTTTCCTCTCTCTTCCCTAACCCGTGTTTCGCTACACGGCTTCCACAGCGCCTCAGCAAACCGCCGCCGCAGGCCTCTTCTTCTCCTCCATGGAAGTCTCCACCGTGGCTCCAACTTCTTCGACTATGGCGCCGGTCACATCAGCCTCCACCGACGCAGCCGTAGTCATCACCAGCGCCGCCGTTCCTCTGACCGCGCCGCCGCAGGTGACTCCGTCGCCAGCCTCTTCTTCGTTCATCGCTGACATTCCCGGTACCTACTCACTATTTCAGCCTCTTCATCCGGGAATTCCATGGCAGCCATCTGCCATGCCAGCGGTCTCAGGCCTCTACTCGCCACCCTTCTCGGCTGGATCATCGTTTGCCGGTCCCACTTTTGTTGGCACACCTGGTGTCTCCTCTGTCATCCTCTGTCTCAGGCCTCTGTCTCTTTAGAATTCATGATGACACAATTAAGTGAATTAACATTCTAAACTTTCATTTGAAAATAAATAATGTTACCCACAATCTATATAATTGCAACACTTTTAATTTTCTATTTTAAATTATGCAATTAACCACATAAATTTACCTTTTTGAAAGAAATAATATATGACAATGTTGCAAAAGTAACTTTTTATTTAAATGTTACGGTATTTAAATTACATATGCATGTTTGAAGTGTTTAAGTCACACTTCTTCCTTTGAAATACTTTTATTAATTTACCCCATAAATATTATCACTACACTTTTAAAAGAAAAAAATTTAATCTAGTAGATCATATTTTTGTTCTTGAATAAATTTCCAGTTTCTTAAAATTGATTCCAATAATATTTTAATTAGAAACCCCATAATAAGTAAAATAATTAATGTATCCCAAGAATTGTCGTTCACCGGTGGTCGTGTGGAATCACTTGGTCGGTTCTTGTACATGGAAGTAAGTCCAAGAATCTCTTCTTTGTTTATCCGCAACTAATTTGCAGGCATAAATAATGTATTCACACTTTTCGTGTCCTTCGCGTAATAAAATGCCATTCAGGATTCTCTTCGGTCTTGTTTCACTTCACAAGTGAAACCCTCCATAGCTCTTCTTCTTTTAGTCCACAGATAGATGGTTTCTTGATTTATATATTCGCTACCCTTTGTGAATAAAGACTGACGGTTTTGTTCCTTTTACATCCCCCGTCCTCAAGCAAACCAGTGGTTCTCTCTAGCTTTTGTTTATTCTCTATTTTAGATCCAGCTCCCATATGGGTGTCAATGTGGAGCATTTCTCTTCAGACAGTGAAATGTTAGGTTCTGAGAGTGATGATGGAGAGCTAAAGATGAAATCTTTATTTCACAGAATGATTTGGGACTTCGGGTTGGCCTGTGTAATCCCACCTCGCCGGAGACGGAGCTCCGGCAATGGAAGTAGCGACGGGGATTCGTCGGAGCACAATAAAGCTTGGTTGCTGGCTCAGTCCGGTGGGTGTGGCCGTTTGGAGATGAATAATGCCGAGCCGCAATCTGTCCACTCATCCTTCAGGCTCAGCATTTGCTCTCAGGTTGAGCTTGATTCGATGAATGTGAGTAGCTGCCCCTCTGCAACTGTTTTGATGGTGAATTTGGAAAACGGGTCGACTGATCCGAGCGGGTCAAGAGATCTTAAATGGAGGAAAATCGAGTCTTTAGAGAGAAGTATCTCCCCCATAGCACATTCTTTACTGAGGTTTAGCTATCAAGAAATTGTGTCTGCCACTGCCAATTTCTCCAAAGGTGGTATACTCAATTCTATTCTTTGCCTCTTGAAATCACTTTTGATCTCATCTTATTTACCTTCTTTGATAGAATTCAAAGTAGTTGTTTGGGTTAAAACCCATTGGATCCAATTGAGCTAGTTAAATCCAAGGATGTTGTATCCGTTTGTTATTTTACATTCAGCCTCGTTCGTAGTCATATACACCCCGTCTAGACAGTGCAATGTTTTCACATAGACGTATAAGTAAATTTATATAAAAGGGTCTTGCATCATGATAATGGATCCTGTTCACTTTGATATCATATCAAGGCGTGATCTTATATCCTAAATGTTAACTTCAAATAGTTATGTTAACTCATCTCAGCTGGCCAAGTATAGAGATATAGACTAACATATGAAAACTTGAGTTACTTTTCTTATCAATTTGAGATGAAACACAAATTAAGCTCAAATGGGCAAATCATTTGTGGTAAGTCTCAATAATGACCATACATATTTCAAGATTAAGCCCATATAAGTAACACACTGTCTGGTTTGGATTTTGTTGACTTTGGTCAGGTAGAGTATTGGGAAGAGGAGCATTGAGCTATGTATTTAGAGGAAGAATTGGATTAATGAAAGCTGCCTTAGCGATTAAGCGATTAGATATGGGAGATAAGGAGACCCCAAAGGCATTCTGTAGGGAATTGATGATCGCTAGTTCTCTGCATAACCCTTACATTGTCCCTCTTGTGGGCTTCTGTATGGATCCTGAAGCCGGGTTGTTTTTGGTTTACAAGTATGTATCCGGTGGGAACTTGGACTGTTATTTGCACGGTATGTCTTTTCTACCAAGAGTGATCATTTTGTCATTTTCAGCGTGTTTCGAGTTTATTTCAAATTCAATCGTCTCCCCGCAGACAAAAGAGGGGCGAGAGGGCGTTCCGCCCTTCCCTGGCCTGCTAGGTACAAAGTTGCTCTTGGCATTGCAGAAGCTATTGGCTATATGCACAACGGAACCGAAAGATGCATTGTTCACAGGGATATCAAGCCTTCCAACATTCTTCTATCTTCAAAAAAGATACCTAAGGTGAATAATTACTATACTTGAAAAAGTATGGTGCTTTATTTTGTCAATAAGTAGTTGGATCTACTATCTAATTATTGTGTTTAGGCCAGCAATTATATGAGTCATTAAATTGTTTCAATGTCATTATTGTTATTTGTTATGCAGGTATGTGACTTTGGTTTAGCTACATGGACCCCTTCACCTTCTGTGCCTTTCCTTTGCAAAACTGTGAAAGGGACGTTTGGGTAATGACCTGTTTGCTTTTTCGGCATTCATTCAAAACTCAAAACCAATCTGTTCTGATGTTTTTGTTTTGTTTTGTTTTGTTTTGTAACTTATGAAGATTACTAGTTTACTCATTTTTGTTAGGTTTTTTAACTCATGGGTTTTATTTTGTCAAACATAAAAAATTACAGGTACTTAGCACCAGAGTATTTTCAGCACGGGAAAGTGTCAGATAAAACAGACGTTTATGCTTTTGGAGTAGTCCTCTTGGAGCTAATAACTGGGCGGAAACCAATTGAAGTCAAACGAGGAGCAGGGGAGGAGAATCTAGTCTTGTGGGTAAGTTTAGTCAACTCCATGTCTAAGTAGTTGAATGATGGTCTGTTCTACCTTAAATTTTAATGACTAAATGTCTAAATCTGATTAGTCATCCCGTATCTGAAGTCTGAACAAATATAAAAATAAGAAATTGGTCAAGATATGAATAAAACATGGTCAAAGACTCAAATATCTAAAGTAGGACTATATATGTTTTCTTCCCAAAATAAGAGTTATTTTTAGTTCTATTAAAAGAACAAAGCAACAAAAATTTTCACAAAATTGGAGTGATAGCAATGATACTCATATTTAAAGAATTGTGGTATACGGGTATATTTTACTCATTTAGGGAATTTTCTCATTTAAAAATTATTGTACTGGCTTAACCTTTTAGAATGGAACATTAAATTTTGAAACAATATCATACTACATAGCAATTAAGCTCAAGATTTGTCTACTCTAACGAGCTATAATCTTGCGGGCCTTACCGCTGCCCTTTCGTAAAACGCAAACTTTTCGAGACCATTTATATATCAATCTTTAGAAATAGTAATACGTAGTAGAATATAAAGGAAAACAACAAATGTAGAAAAAATAATTTAAAGTCTAGCAATCAAATAGAACTTGATAATGCAAAACATTTGAACTAAAATGCACAATTTTAAGTTATTTTGCATTGCACAATGCACAAACTAATAAACTAAATTGTAAATTGTGTATGTTCAGCAATTAGAGATGTTCGGCTGGCCTAGTGAGTAACTATAAATGCTATGTCCAATATATCTAACCTCAACAATCAGTAAAAGAGAGTATAGGGAAAGCAGTTATATTACTAATAAAAATAAATTTATATTAAATATACTGCATATGAATCACATGATTAAATCTTGGGTTCAGAGTGTGTGCCGGTCGCGTCCTATTCGAGGTCATTTCAGGATAGTAAAAGTATGAAAATAAAATATGTCACATTTTAGAAGTTGTTAACCTGTTTGGTATCATATAGTCATTTCTGATAGAATGCATCTTCTGTGTTCTTACCCACCCTGTCTAAACCACCTGAACGTGTTTGATCTTAGGCGAAGCCACTACTACAGCAAGGATTCATTGAAAAGTTGCTTGACCCGAGACTAAGATTTCCCCGAAAGAGCTTAAACAAGATAGCGTGGATGGTTCAAGCAGCGGCTGCATGCATAAACAATGAAGAATCTCATCGGCCCAACATTGATGCAATTATTGCTATACTTAGAGGCATAAAAGTAGATCACCTTGGCAGGAACAAGGCCAATTTAGCCACGGGTAACGGTTGTGTTTTCGAGTGTTATACCCAGTTGCAGCAGAGTAAAAGTCAATTGAGGGGTCACATGGAATTAGCAATGGTAGGGGTCACTGAATTTGAAGAAGGAGAATTTTACTGTCACTGAATCTTTGAATTAAGAGAGATTCTAGGCTGGTTTGAGAGAGATGTTTAAAATGTATATAGAACATCTTCATTTATCAGTCTTAGTTTGCAGTTTGCACAATCCGTAAATGATCTTTTTTGTTAGTAGTAATAAATAATAATTATCAAGCTGTACTGTGATTCTTGAAGTTCCTTTTTTCCTGGAATGTCAACTGTATTTTTTACTCGTAAGCTTCTATAACTCTTATCTTTTTTTTTTGTATATGAAATTCACCTTCTCAAACAGTGTTTATCAACGACTCCATCCTAAAATAATTTTCATGTGTTGACCAGATATTGTTATTAAGGAAGTGGGGTTGAAATGAAATTTTGTGATTTAGATTTAGTTGAAAACTTGAAATGAGTGAAACAATATCTATAGATTTAAAGGCTTTCAAAGTTAAAATGGCAAGGATATTAAGTGCATATAATAAGGATTTATTACTTAGATTAGATAAAAAGGATGTAAAAAGATCTACTTAAATTAGATGAGCTAAACCAAATCATATTAGATTAGGTTAGAAAGTCACTAAATTTCACTTTAAACGAATTGATTTTAAAAACATCAGCAATGCTTGGTCTGCGTTTTTGTCTAAATATGACTAAATTATTAGGGGAAAGTATCAAATCACTCCTCAAACTAACACTAATAGTGCAAATCACCCTCTAAATTTAAAACACCTTCAATCAAATTCTTCAAGTCGACGATAAAGTGAAAATCATCCCTTCAATTAAAAAAATTGTAACCAAATTCTTCAACTCTGTGATATAGCGCAAATGACTTTCCTAAATTGCAATTTACTGGTTAAAGCTGATGTATGTCATTTTTAAAAAAAGTTAAGCCACATAAGATTCATTTATCCACTTCATTTTTAAATTACTTAAAAAATTTATATTAATACATACAACAAACTATACACATTGAAAATGAAATGTAAATTTATTTAAAACATTGAATTGACTTGTACAATTATAACAATATTTAAACAACAATTGAGAAGGGTTACATAAATCTCCTAGTCTTCAAAATTCCCGCTTCCTTAGTTGGTAGTCATTTCCTCCATAAAGTGGTGGGGCGGTGCTATGTTTAGTTATTGAGTTCGTCGATGGGGTGCCAATCGTGCAAAAACTTGAGCGTCTCAACAGATTGCGTGCTAAACCTTGTTCTATAAGTAGTCAATAAAAGGTAAAAGTGAGATATATTGAGGTGGATAAATGATTCTTATGTGACATTTTTTTTAATAAATGGGACACATTGGTTTCCAATAAATTACAGGTCGGGAAAGTCATTTACACTATATGGTTGAGTTGGAGAATTTGGTTGGAGTTTTTTTTTTTTAATTTAAGTAGTGATTTGCACTTTATCACCGACTTGGAAGATTTGATTGATTTTTTTTAATTTAGGGGGTGATTTGCACTATTGATGTTAATTTGAGGGTTGATTTGATACTTTTCCTGAAATTATTATTATCCTTAAATGGTAGTGTCAAATGTAACATTGAAGAAATTAATGACATATTTGATCATATTCAAGCATGACATCAATGATCCAATTTAAGAAAAAATAGTGTTATTATTTTTTCAAAAACATAATGATGGATAGTCTACCCGGGGGGTAGCTTATCCGAGGGGTTATTGCCGGGAATAAGTTAGAGAGAAGTCAGAGCACAAGTAAGTGAGAGAGAGAGAGTATATTCAGTATGAATGTCGTGGTTACAAATGGGGAAATGGGGTGCTATTTATAGTAGCAATAAATGCCGGACAGGGACACGTGTCAAGCGCCTATTGGCCGAGGGGTCACCTCAACTGGTTGGCGCTGGCAGCCGCATGTGGCCGCATTTAATGCGGCTGTTGGATGGGACGTCTGTACAGGGTACGGTGATCTGTACGCATGTGAGGCGGATATCATGTCGGGAGAGGTGCCCTCGGCTGCAGAGGACTAGCCGAGGGCTCTTAGTGCCGAGGACCCCTGAGTGCCGAGGGCTCCAGGTGCCGAGGGCTACTGTTTTCGCCGTTTTCTCCCAGTTCCTCTGTTTGTTCGAAATATCCATGTTGTGATAGTTTGGAGCCTTCGGCCAGGGGGCCGAAGGCACCCCTGGTGCGTATTGCGGGCTGCTTGGTACTCTGGGCGTCGTGAATTGGGCCTGTTGGGCCTTCTGGGCCTGTTGGGCCTCTACTGGAGTAGTAGGAGTCGGTGGGCCGGGTATTCCCGGGCCATATACTCCATTGGTTGCTCGTGGGCGGGCTTTACCGGTTGGGTGAAACGACGGTGCATAATGATGGCTTTGGCTGCTGGGAGCCCGGATCTCGGCCCAAGCCCGGATCTGGGAGCCTATAAATACCCCAAGCCAAAGCCATTCCTTCTTTACGCATCCAACATCCCTAGCGAAGCTCTGCCAAAAATTCTAGAGAGAGAAACTCAAGCCTTCGGTCAAAACTCAGCTTTCAGAGGCCACTTCTCCTTTCGCCCTTAGCTCCATTTGAGTATTTAGCTTTTGGCCTTAGGGTTAGTCTTTAGGACCCTTCAGGAACCCCCCCCCCCCCCCTTTGTACGAGTTTCCCGACCCCTCGCCTTCTAGAAGTAATGTCGTCAGCTAGTGATTCCCAAGACATCTCCGGGGAGGCTTCAGTGAACGTTGAAGTGCCGTCTGACGTGGAATCCTCGAGCGAGCAGCTCTCGGTCATCGATGATAGGGCCGTGGCCGAGGCGATACAGGGTGACCTTCGGCTTGAGCTCGAGGCCGAAGACTTCGAGCAGGTGAACGCGGATGAGGAGCTTGCTATCGCCTGTCAAGTGGCCGAGGACGAGGCCCAGAAGGAAGGCCTGAAGGTGACTGTAGCTATCCCTCCCCCTCGGTGTGGTACTGAAGCTGGGAGCTCCTGGCCTATAGACGCTGTACCCCTCAGTGTGGCCCCAGGGCAGAAGAGAAAGAATGCGAGGATGGCTCCGAAGAAGAAGCAAGCTGCCGTCGACGCTGGCCAGCCACTGAGACTGCCCGAGGGCTATTCTTTCCTGAATACGGCCGCCTTGGAGGTCAAGAATAAAGCTACCCGAGGGGAAATGATGGCGGTACAATTTTTGGTAGGGCCTTCGGCGCAAGTGGTAGAGCCAAAGCCGGATGATGTGCTCCTTCGTGCCCCCGACGGCTGTTTTGTCGTACATCTGCTTTCGGTGGAGCTGGGTCTCAGATTTCCCCTTCATCCTTTCGTGTTGGAGTACCTACGCTTCGTCAAGCTAGCCCCCTGCCAGTTGACCCCGAACAGTCACTCATATCTGGCAGGGTTCTTGTCACTGTGCCTCAGCCGAAGGGCCCCCCTACTCTGGAGCAATTCTTCCTGTCGTTCAACTTATGTCGGGGGGGGGGGGGGGGGCATTCGAATGCCGGGGGCTATGGTAATTTGCAGCAGCTCCCGAGGTTCAGGATTTTTGATGAGGCGCCTTCGTCTCACAAGGGGTGGAAGGACAAGTTCTGTTATATCCGGTTGGCCGAGAACCCCTTCTCCGCCCTGCTTGGTGATAGGTTTCGGCGGCACCCGAAGGCAGAAGGGTATGCCCTCGAAAAAAATGGGCGGGTGTTGTCCAAGAAGCCGTAGGGTTCCGATAAGCATGTGTCCATCAAAAGCGCAACGCTCTCTAGTGAGTTGTACAAGCTTGGCTTCCGTCGGTACCGGCTGATGGGGGAGAAGGAGGAAGGCTACCCCATGATTGATCGCGTATATGAGAGTGCCGAAGGTTGTTGTAATGCCGAGGGCTTCAATTTTCATACTTAGAAAAATTTCTTCCCCCTTTTTTTTGCTCTGTTGTAGTAGTGAACTAACCCTTGTGTGCCTTCTTGTGTATCAGGACCAGACATGGACGCTCGGAACCTTGTCAAGCTGAAGAGGCAACTTGCCAGGGAGGAGCAGAAAAAGGAGGCCCCCGCACAGCAGAGGGCGGTCGATGAGATCTTCCCCAAGGCGGGAGCGGCCGAAGAGGCCAAGGAGGTGGGGCCTGTCCCGGAGGCCGCCGTCGGGGGCTCCCCCGGTCTGGAGCCGAAGCGAAAAAGGCTTGGGAAGGACCCGGCACAACCGGAGGGGAAGAAGAAGAAGAAGGGGCCCCCGGAATCGAAGGATGCCCCCGTTGTGGTCGTAGACGAATCTTCTCCTCCCAAGCCTTCGGGTCAAGCCACTGATCTGACATGGCCCCTGGACAAAGTCCAATTCTCCATCACGAAGGGGACTGCTATCATGCACGGGACCCTGAACCCGAAGGAGTTTTTGAGGGGTGCCACCCCTCCGACCGATAAGTCTGTGCTCTCCCGTCATGCCGTCGATGTCCTCTGCTCTAAGGTTCTGATGGCCTCGGTTACGGTAAGGTTCCTTCCCTCTCTTTTGTAGATAACTTCATTCTTTACATGTGTAGTGGCTAAACCTCCGGTAATTCATGTCTGCTTTCAGGCGAGCCTTGGCCTTGGCGAGCTGGTCCAGAGGATAGAACAGCATGACTCGGAGAAGAAGAAAGCCGCTGAAGCACTGGCTGAGGCCCGAAGGCAGCTCAAGGAGGCCGAGGACGCTCGCAAAGCTGAGCAAGAGGCTTTCAAAGAAATCCTCGAGGGCTCCAAGACGGTGGCCAGAGCCGAAGGCAAAGCAGAGGCGGAGAAGGCTGCGGCAGATGCTGCCAAGAAAGCCGCGGAGGGTGCCGAGGAGGCCCGGATCAAAGCTGTCGCCGAAGCCCGGGAGGATGCTGTTGCCGCTTTTGCTGAGGATGGATGGAAAGCCGAAGGCTGGCAGGAATGGGTGGCTTCGGTGGTGGAAGCTTCGGTGAACGAATGGGTGAAAGGCCCAGGCGCAATGTGGTTGGCCCGGAAGGGGAAAGAGTATTATGACGGGGGTGAGTACTTTACTCAGGCCCTCGTATATCGAAGGTTGTCCCGGCATTTTGGGGTGGACCCGAAGGCCTTTGATCCGGCATCCTATGGTCTCCCTCCCCTTCAGCGAGACCCCAGGGTTCCCCTCCCTGAAGGTGTTGCGAGGCCTGATTTGGAAGACTCCCTGCTGATGGCCGAGGGCAGTGACGAAGAGGAGGAAATTGGGGATGATGCCGCGTCCAAGCCTGCAGTAGAGGACGCCTCCGGGAATGCCGTCGTTGATTCGTAACCTGTACTTAGTAAATATTTGAAACTTCTGTTGTAATGAACACCATTGATCCTTCGGCTTCGGCCTGTCTGTAATAGTTACATTTACTTCTT